AAATATATTTTGAGTACCATCTTTTCCATAGGAAAAATTTTTTAGTTTCCTCCATAGGAAGACTGTTACATGATCTACTTTAAATTAATTTGCTTTTTTTTCCCTCCCCCTCCATCACTTTATTTTTTCCTGAACAAAATTATAGGCATTATGCAAAATTAAGGTTAAAAAAAAAATAAAGGCTGGAGCATCACACTGAAGAAGGTCACTTTTAATTTTGCTACCATGAAACAAAATCTTTATTATGGGGAAAAAGTAATCAAGCCTTTGACATTTTAGAATTTCTTTTTAACTTAACAGTTAAGGGAATTTTTTTTTTTTGCAATTCATCATTTTTTCTGTGTATAATCAGATTTTATTTTTCAGTATAATTACAATGAATTATAGACAAGTGTATTCTCTCTAACAGAAGAAGAAACAGTAAGTGGGGTAAACTGGCAGTTCTTCAGTTTTTTTAAGTCACTATAAATTTCAATTTGTCTGCCCCACTAATTTGTCGGGCATATGCTGCAGATGCCATTGTCGCAAAGCATTCTTAACCCTTTCTAGAAAAGCAAAGTTTCCTTCATGTTAAAATGTGCCAGCCTCTTTGATGCCCATTGGGTCTGCCCAACATAGGTTGATCTGCCCAGATGAGAGAAAAATCAAACAAAAGCGCATTTACAGGTACCCATGGGTTGTCCGTCTTCTCCTTGGCCTCTGAGACACTGAGACAATCTTAGCTGCTTAAGTAGGTCCCTGATGACCTTACTTAAGTAGGTTCACAAGATGACTTTGGAAAGTTCTTTGTGGCCGTTTCAGCATAAAAACGTGGATCTGATGGCAGGAATGTGACCTTAAACTGGTTTGGGCAATGATGCTGTTATTCTTTCACTCAATGAATGGTGGTTGAAATCATAAATGAATGCTTTCCACATAGATGGTAGAGAGAACAGCCGCTGCCTTGAGAAAAAAATAAAAATATTTCACTTCCAAAATATCTTTATAAATCCCTATAAATATATTTTTCATTTTGTGTCTCTGGGAATAGTTAAGCCCAAGCACAGTTAGGAGTAGAGTTGCTGAAATATTGCAGTGAGAGCTGTCATCAACCCCTTCTTAGTGTTTGGGTGACTTTGACACCTGCAGTCTTGAGATTCTGAAGCTTGCAAATTCAGCTCAGTCCAAATGCAGTCTGAGCCACTCCTTCAGAGATTTGCACCTCTGACAGGGAGTTCTGTTGAGACTGGCAGCAAGCCTGCTAATTTTTACCAGTTGTGGCAGATTGTTTCAATGTTTTTACCCTTAATATAAAGATGGTATGTTCGAATGCCTGGATTTTCATGTTCAAAGCCACTGAAACTTTCCTCACTAGTAAAATCATGTATTTGCTCTTTTGCTTAAATGCTTCCAGGTTGCCTGAACACACAATTGCACTGCAGCTCTGTTTAGATTCCTAATTTCCTTCTGTCTGAAAGCCGTTGAGATATCCAGCCATGCTTTTCCTTGGCCCTGAAATATCTAGAACACTCGCTGTCATCAGTGGGCTGCACGTGGACCTGGGCTCCATTTCTTATTTCGTTGCTGGTGTAAAAGGCTTGCAGAAACTCCTAGGTGTGGACAAACACGACAGCAGAATGATGGCAATCCCTGGTTGGCCAGTGGCCCCTCAGGATACTGTTACTATCCAAAAAAATACAAAACAGCCTGTAAGAACTCCTATCTCTTTTGGGTATGAAGGTAGAAGAAAGGGAACACATGACTTTCTTCTACAACTTACTGCCCCGTAAAAGGATTTTAAAGAATCTTTAGGGAAAAAATTTAGGCCTCAGATGCACACATGTGGATCTCATTGATTTCATAGGAGGCTATGCGAGTGTGTACATTAACAGACAAAATATTCCTTTTGATCTTTAAGAGCAATTAATATAACACAGGGAATTGCACTATTGTGTAATAAGATATTTTTTACTATTTCATTAAAAGTACTCCTCAAGCTCAAATACAAAACAATGTAGCATCCCAGGACATGGTCTTTTAATGGTATATCTTCACCAATGCTTATCACCTTTGGTGCTGTTTGTAAATGTGTTTGGTTGTTATGCTTTGAACTTCAGTAAAACATTTGTACTTAATAAATAACAACACCAAGCACTTTCCTATCCTCACATGTGTCCATGCTTGAGAACGGCACTGTAATTGGAAGAGATGGAGAAATAGTTGTCCTGACTATCTGCAGGGACTTCCCTGTGATCAGGTCTTTTCTGCTGCCATACAAGACACAACTGTGATGGCTAAGCACTTATTCCATAAGCCTGCAAGCACAGAGCATTTCAGCACATGCTTACACTTATGAGCATGTGGGTTGCCAAGTACCCCTTGTAGTTAATACCTTGAAGAGTGTGATGGTTTAAAAACCTCTACTGACATAGACTTTGCAGGGGTGTGCAAGACTGACAGCTTGAAGGTGGCTCCCCAGGGTCTATCTACACCTTGAAACTCCTGTAGCTGCATCTGTGAGTGGCTGGTAATGAAATGCAATGAACCTGAATTGAGGGTGTCTTTGCTTTTTTTTTGCCTACCTGAAATTCCCAGTGTGTTAAACTGACAGATGTATTTACTGTGAAATTGGAAGCAGCTTCTGACTAGAAAGGTTCCCACAAATAGATTAACAAGTCCAGGAGTGAGCAAGTGGAATTGAACAGTCCGTCTGCAACAGGTTCTTGGGTGGAACAGCAAGTGCTTCTTCACCGCAGAAACAACACAATGTGCCTTTTGAAGAAGAAACTAACATAATGTCTTTTCAGGTCTCTATTGATCTGTCAAATTGCAAATAAAAGGGAGATAAACTGTAGGAGTCACTTTGTCAAGGAAACAGTCTTGTGTGAATAGAAGGATCCTCGTTTCATCTCAGAACAAGAATTTACATGTTTCTTTTTGAAGTGAGCTGTGGTCTTGTTCCCTGCTCCCCCGTCTGTCGGTTACACAAGAGACTTTTCTCCTGAAAGGTTTCCATAAGTCTTCCCAGCCATAAGACTGGCTTTGTTCCTGCTTTCGTACTTGAGCATCTCTATCTTTTTGACTGAAGTACTCTGTATGTATTCACCTTCAGGCAGAAACTGAATCTAGAACCTTTCCATCTGATGCTCTAGCTAAGATTTTATGAAGTTGTGAACAATGGAGAGGAGGATAATAACAGTCCTGTTATGATAATGCATGCAGCCCTGGCCATAAGTGGCACTTGTATTTTAGCAATAATAAATAAGTGTCTTTGGCAGTATTTGTATGGTGCTGATTCTCTAAATCCAGTGGACTGAATATTTTTTGCTATTAAGCTTCATAGATTACAGCCGTAGTCATAGTATTCTATGAAAAGCCATTTAGCTCAATCAGTTTTGATTGTAGTTTTATTGCTTAGTTGACTATATCAGATGCTATTTATTCTATCCAGATCCACATCTATAAACATTAAATATTATTTTTGGTGACTCTAATTTGATGGGGAAAATGATTTTTTTGTCCCCTTCCCCATCTCTTCAAATAGTACTGCCGGTAAATTTTTGCTGAAAAATTGAAGCTGTAAAGATCTTGGGAAAAAAAACCACAACAACAAACAAACCAGAAAACCCACAAAAAAACAGAAGTCCAAAACAAACAAAAAACCACACCCCAAAAAACACCACAAACACCAAAACTCTGTTTTTTCATGCCTTCTTAGACTATTAGAAAATACTTATTTTGCAGAAGATTGCTACTGATGTTGAAGTGAGGAACAGAATACTATTGCTAATAGAAAAGTATTGACATAGCTGGAGATCAGGTACTCCCTAGCACCCATCCACTGTCCTCTTTGTAGTAGGGAGATATGCCTACAGTGCTTTGGAGAGGAGAGCAGCTGAAGCTAAAACACTCTCCATATAATGCTGTATTACAATGAACCTTTTCAGTGTGTTAATGCAGTAAAATCCCTGTTATCTGAATTCTATATTCTTCAATTACAGTAACTTGTGATTCAGATAAATGGGAATCACCAAGATATAAACTTGCAGAGTTTATTAACTCACTGGATATTAATATCTTCCTAGTATTATTTATATAATCTGCAGCATGATCTGGCACATAAGCACAGCAGGTTTAGTTTAGTTTATTTTACAAATTCAGTGCAAATTGCCTCTTGCACCAAAAAATGCATTCAAGTTAGACCTCAGGGTATAAATCTGAATTTATGTTAACCAGGCTTCCTATGTTCAAGTTTGTAAGTATATCCTAACAGATTCATCAGAAAGAAGGATAGTCAGTACAGAAATGCAAAAAAAAAAATATTATCTGTATTGCAGCACCCATAGAAGTGGAGATAGGATCTACTTTCATTCTTTTCCAGCTACAGGAAGATTCTAGGTAGTATTTTGGATTGCTTCTTTCTTCTGTTTATATTAGCAGAATGGAGTAGAGAAAGTCTTGGGGCAACTGATGCCCTATGGTGAATTGATTTAAGTAGGTGCAGATAGATTATTTGTGAATTTTGTTCCTGGCAGTACAAGCAAGAGAGGATGCTGAAGGTAGCTTTTCTAAGCAACAAAAGTGAAGATACAGTTTATTGTTCTGTGGGATGGCTTAGTTGGATGTAGAGCTGCTCCTTAAAGATTAGGCCAGCCTAATTAAATATGGGTGTACATTAAACACTTCAATCTACAGCTTCTACCCGTCTTTATGTGAGGCATTTGGTTGGTGCTGAATGCTTGTTTAATTTTTGGGTTTAACTTGTGCACGCAGCTGAAGTTTATCTAAGCTTATTTCCTTCTTAAGGAAAAAGTGGATACTGGAGTCCAGAATGCCTCACCCTCTTTTTGGTGCTGTGTTACCTCCTTGCTGACTGTCAGGGGTGGGAAGGGCCATAGGTATTGGCCCCCTTTAGAATAGGTGAATCAAGTATGTCTGTTTTTAGGTGGGAAAAAAAGTGTCATCCAATCCTGGTATTTATTTTGATGCTCAAAGATGACATAAAAGCGGCATGCCAGGGAGGAATGTCCATTGAGAAGGAAGAAAACAGCCCTGCACTCCTCTGTGATTGGGACTGACTGTGTTGTTGCTGGGTGGATGCTGCGTGATGCTGTTGCTGCTCCTGCTCCAGCACTGTGATGTTTCTGTTCCAGATTGTGCTGACTCACATTCAAGAAAAAACGATACATAGGCACAATGCACTGTAACTTTTTTCCTTTCCCCCAGTAACCTCGGTAAGTGTTTGATTTCTTTTTCCTCTCTTTGGCTAGGGTAGTGCTAATGTATCTTTACAGTTAGAATTAATAGGAGGGGGAAAGGCAACCTTGTAAACAAACTGGTAGCAGACAGATTAATCAAGGAGAGAGCATTTAAATGCACCCTGCTGTTTGTGGTACATCCACCTCTCTCTAAAGCTGATCAATCCTGATAACTCCTCCGTCTCTACAAACTACACTTCTTAAATGGGAGAAGTGCTTACAATGCCCATTTACAACTGTATTCTGTTTAATTAGTCAGCACAGCCAGTGCTGCAGGGACAGATCACTTGCCTTTAAAGATTTGAGAATGTTAATAGTACAGTATATCATTTTAATTATTATTGGATTAATGTTGTGTCTCAAAGAACATCTAATGCAAATCACAAGAAATGGCCTGAAGTGACCCAAGGGTTGTGCTTTATTAGAAAAGTAATAGGTCCATTGCTTAAATACAAAGAGAGGTTCTTTCTTCAAATGTCACTGCACTGGGCTTCTTCGTGTGTGTATGTAGAAATTAAATCCTTTTGCTTCCACCTTTGTCCACAGAAAGTTTCTGTAGCTCATGCACTAAATGGCTGAGACAGTAGCTGTAATACCAACAGATGAAGAGGAGATCCAAAATAATAGTGATGATGAAGATCGATTTCCTAATCATGATACTGTTACGGCGTCCCTTGGTTGCTCTACCAGCCCTTCGTTAGCCAGCCTTAATGAAGACAGGGGAAGCTCAACGGTGCCAGAAAGATTGTCTGTCCTCTCCAGCAAGGCCATGGCCCAGGTAAAAGCCCTGACTGGTCCAGAGGTGGCTAGTGGTGGCCAGGCCCAGAGGACAGCCTCTGGGTTGGCTGAGCATCATCTGACAGCTGTAGATGTATCATTAGGTGGCTTGTTGTACCCTGTGGTAGTCGGTAGCCTGCAGCCTGTGGACATTGCCGCCCTGTGCTCCAAAAGCTCGAGTTCAGAAGTGCTGCAGGTCCCAGGGGTGCTCTGTGAGGCTGGCGAACCCCCACAGGCTGGGACTGACCAAAAGGACTGCTACACACAGCAGGCAGGGAGTGGCACCAGTGGCAATACTGCCTCTTGTAGTCTGGGCCACGTGATTTGGATGAAGAGCACAACAGTAATGGAGACCTTAGAAAATAAGAAACAAGAGGAAAAGGAGAAGTACCGCCTCCAGCTAGCTATGTACCGACGGCTTCTGTTGTTGCGCTCCATCAGGAGTTTGCATAGGCAGCTGGAGCAACAGCAGGCCAGGTTGCAGGAATGCTATGGCACGGTAATAAATACCAAGAAAGAAGTGTTGAAACACATTTGCTCAGCCTCGCCCTCACCTTCGCCGTAATCATGTTGCTGCACGCAAAAATGAGCTTTGCAACGCCACCGGAGCCGCCAGCAAGCTTGCATGCTACAGGGGCGGTGTCCTCATACCCAAGGGTATGTGCCCATGTGCGCTCAGAGTAGAGAGGAAACAGCAATAGCAGCAGAGCAAGGAGAGATGAGAGAAGGTAAAGTGTGGGCCCCTGAATTTATCTGGAGGAAACCAGAGCAAGATTGAACCTGTGCAAGAAGTTGACTCCTGATGCACACTCAAAGCCTCAAGCTGAAATAGAATTTTTTTGGCATATAGGTTTGTAAAAAGAAAAAAATCATCACAAAACTGGGAACTTAGTCTGACATCTGATCCATAAAGGTGGTCAGATACAGGGTTGCTGCTTGCTGAATATGTGGTATGATGCATCTCCCTTCTACTTTCAGTGTAACAAAATTTGAACAGAATGAGGGTTTGTTTTCCTGCAAGAATACCTGAATCTAGAAAGCCAGGATATTTGGCTTTCTAAATTCAGGTATCCTTGCAGGAAACTCAGACTTGATCTACCTACCTAGCTGCCTGTTTTTCACAAAACTGCTAAGGCCATTGTACATTTGCAACCTCTACTTTCCTTTAAAATTTATTCGAACTGATCAGAAATTATCGTGGGAGGGTAGGACAGTCATACGCACAGGGAAACAGTACAACTGTCTAAGCCAGATTTCCTCAGGAGAGCAAGGTAAAAACAAAGGCCTTGTAATCTGACGTGGCATTGGAAACCCAGGCTGGCAGCACCAGGGGAATGTTTGAGGTCTGCACAATTATTAATCTACTGCTAACTCCCAGTAGCACTAGCATCTGCAAATCAAGCATATTTTGTGCCTTACTGCTGTCATTTAATGGAAGTTGGTGACAATTAGCACTTTCTATCCAGGTGTATTAGACATGTGGAAAACCCTGTAGCACTGTTTCTCCAATTGCAAAGTTAGGATGCCTGCAGGGAATTTGATGTCAGTATGCAACAAACACAGGGAAAATGAAAGCAAAAATATGCAACTTTTTTTTATGCATTTAAAAGGCAATATGAGTCCCTATTATTGAACAACAAATTGAATAGTTTTAAGATCTGAAGCAAAATATGATTCAAGAAGAAAAGGTACAAAAAATTTTCTCTTTCTAGGATTTAAAGTGGCATAGAAAAATCTCATTCTTCAGATGTTTATTTCTGATCATGCCACCTTTTCTTTTGCGGGTGTTTTTCTCTTTTAATAACTGTTTAAGTAGATGAACAATCAAAGAGTTTTTTGGTGGTTTTTGTTTTTTTTTTTCTGCATTGAAAGACAAGTCTATTATTAATACTCCTATCTTTCTAGAATTTCACATATATTCTAGAATATATGTGCTATATATAGGAAACTTTTTATTCTCACCTTTTTTTTTTTTGGTGCATATGGGAAAGGGGTGTTGGTCTGTGCATGCACACACACCTCCCTGTATTCAAGAGGTTATGAAAGGCTGGTGCTTCTTTTTTTTCTGTAGCAGAAGAAGGAATAATGTCTTAAAATAATCTCTGCTGTCTATGAGGAGTTTGGTTGATTAGATTCACATACACACATCTGTGAGCAAGGTATTGAAGTAATTCAACAAATGAAGTGCAGCACAACATTGTCATTATTCCGTCTTAGTATTTCTGTGCACCCAAAATTATGGAAGCCCCCTGGGTATGCGCAACCTTAGATAGGTTCATTCATCTCCTTGGGCCCTTATGTAGCTTCTCACGCAGCATGAACTAGTAACTTTGAATGCAGAATTACCATAGAAACATCCTTGGCATCAAGGAGATATTTGAAGGAGCATCCTCTCTGCCTCATTTGGGGAATTCAGGTTGCCAGAGGCCTTTAGTGGGCTACGGAAGAGAGCTGGGGGTCGCATGAGACTGAGAAACATTACTCCTGAGCTCTGACCCCATCTAGCTCTCTGCTCAGCCTTGGGAAAGCTGTTCTCTCTCAGCAGTGCAGGTTTCCCAAAGAGTGCTTAAATACCAAACTCATCTCAGAGGTAACCTGTTCTTTCTCGACGTACCTCTCAAAAAAGAACGTTGATCATGGCCAACAGGGCTATGTAAAAATTCTTTTATTTCCACATTTATCCCACCCCCCCACTATTTCGTGAACTGCAAAAGCCTTTCTGCCATTGGTTAAGAGTGAGTGTTATGTGAACCGAACACAAGCAAACCACTATTATGTCATCTCTCCTGGGGAAAGAAGTGTTGGAGAAGGATCATAACTCAAAAATATTACTGCATTTTGAAACAAAATATCAAATTGTTTCCTTTAGGAAGACAGTCAAAATGAATATTGTTGTTAATCTTGGTCAACTTCTTTTGGACTGAAAAAAATTATCTTCTAAATTACATTCAGGTTGACTAATACTATCATGTAACTTTCCACTGAAATAAAATAGATGAACAAAAATATATTAAAAAACCCGAACAAACAAAACTACAAAAACCTCTGATAAGACAGAGTAACTGCTGTGCCTCAGTAGCTGCTGAAGTACAGTATTGTCCTGCATTTGATTTAAGAATGCCCTACATTACTGCTTAGAGCTACCTAGAGTGTCATTTGCATTTAAGAGTAGCTAGAATAACATTAAAGAATACTTCTCACATAATACCCACTGCAGCAACAGTTAGTCTATCAACCTGTCCAATTGTAAATTCTTTGTGGCAAAACTGTGACAATCTTTGTTTTGTACATTTCATGAAATTTCTTGATCATAACTAGGATCAGTAGATGCTTCAGCATTATGAATATTAAATACTGAAAGATTTGTGCATGAGCAATGCTGTCTGATAGCTGGTAGGAAAATGAAGCCAAGACTTATTCTGTGCATGCTCATTCTTTCCATCTAGTACATTTATGGATACATGCAAAATAAATGTTAACTGAGGAAATAGCATCAGTCTTTGCAACAATTTGCTGTTTAGCTTGTGCTTCTGGTGTGGCTACTAATAAGTGAAGTTGGACAAACCAATTAAACACAATATGATTTTTAAAATGAGTTTGTTTTAGAAACTTGGAAAATGTGGCTTCACAGCTATGTTTTTTCCTTAGATATTTTTGTATGTTTTGGAAGTTGAAGGCCAGTGAGAAAGTGACAGAATGCCATGGGTAACTCATGGAGGTGGTTTCAGGCACACCAGGCAGAGCAACAGTCTTAGATTTGATGAAAGTCTGTCCTTCCAAATTGTTCAACCTCCTTATGTGTTTAAGAGGTTTGGTAGTTTGGATGAAGTTCAACTAAATTTCTCAAAATTTGTATATTTATCTAAACTCAACTCACATAGGTCTCACAGGTCTTGGGTACTGATGACAAAATAAGTAGTTTTGGAAGGGCCTTTCTCCCCATTATCTTTCCTGTCTTCCAGAGCCTTTCAAAACAACGATGTCCATGAAAAATCTTTTCTGCAATTTGACAGTTATGCTACCTACTTTTATAGCAAGCTTGAAGTTAAAGGCCTGAGCCTTAAAGTCTTGCTGCTCACCTAATTCTCAAATGGTAGAAAATAATAATGGGTTTACTATGAAAGAGTGGGATATTTAAAAGGTGTCAACTCTCTTGGAATACTTGCTACCACTAAAAAAGTTGTAGCTTGTGCCTACCTAAAACCAGAAATCTTCAAGAACAGAATGGAGTTATGGACAATTAAGTGATGAAATGCATTACTGATGTGTTCTTCCGCATCTCCAGCATTTCAGTTAGCCAAACTAAACTGCTGCCCTGGAGACTCTTCAGAACTGTGGTTTTGCTGTTTTTGTTGTTGACAGTTACGAGTCAGACAAGATCAATGGCCCACCTTAAAATGTTCAATTATTACCTCTTGTGATGGAGCTGTGCAAGGGATTAGTTCAGTTCCTCCTTCCTGAGATTTTCTTGTGTGTCTATCACATTCCCTTATTAGGACAGTGAAGATTTTACCAATTTATAGTAAATTTATGATATTGTGGCAAACTTATGAGCCATGCAATATTAAATGCGGATCACCCTGCATTGTTCTTTAAACATTGAAAATTATGGACTCTGGGCATAAGCGTACAAAAGATAGATTTAAAGATGAGGTTGTTTAAATCACCCCTGGATCAAGTAGGCTTGGAAAACCCTTTAGAGTCCTTGTTACAGTTTATTTCTATAAATGTTGTAAATCTAGAATATAAATGCATTGGAGAGCACCTTTTGTTTATGACTGTTGAAAGAAGTGCAGTAATGCAAAGGTGGACTTGGGATATGCTTGAATGGGACCCTGCTCCAAATGCAATGAGTAAGGAGTAAATGTTCCTTATTCTTAAAGCTCACAGATTTGGATGAGCATGATTGCCAAAAACCTGGAGGCTGATTGGATAATGGGAGTGACTGGAACTACAGGAAAAGATGTCTCAGAGTTTGATTTTTAGTGCAGCATGGAGAATTACACACTGCACAGGTTTTTTTCTTCAGTTAAAGATGACCTTTTCTTTTTCTCGCTCCTGAAAAAAGGCCTTTTGGATCATTAGGTTAGATGGTGCTAAAAGTTGTTTGTGTAGCTGCAGTACATAGGAGTTGACACCTATCTCTGAAGTTGAGTGGCATTAGTTATTGTTGCCAAAATTCACACGTACAACTTACTCCTAGACCTGGTTTCTATCTAAATTGTAACATACTGAAGTTGAGTGTCCTGCTGACTTTCAGTGACACTTGAACCAAGGTCAAGAGTTTGAGGTGGTATGCCTTGTTCAAGTCCCTTCTCAATTTTGATTAATTTTTATCTCCTGGTGTCTTCAAACAATGCCTTGTGTGGTACTAATCTTTGTCTTTCTGGCAAAATGTTTGGAAGACTTGAGAGAAGAGGAAAAAGGCCTTCCTATCAGTCTCTTGTGCTATTGAAGAAAGGGGAGGTAGGTTTGTTTTTTTTTAATTTAGTGAAAACTTAAAGCAGGGGAGGCTGTCCTGTGAAAACACTTTTGGAGGTTTCACTTAAATGTCTTGAAAATAACATTTCCTACAGCTGCAAGTAAGTTTCCTTAATTGTATTGTTCATCTTTTCACACAATTTTAGCCAAGTCTACAAAACAAACAAAAAAGTTGCCTCCATCTCTGACAAATCAAGTCTCTAAGTCCCCAGCCCAAATTGACTTCTGTGTGCATGAGTGGCAAGGCATTCTTGAGAATCTCAATAAAAGTTACATTTTCCCTTTGATGGGTGGGGGTTGGAAAGGAAAGGGAATGTGTGACCATTCATCACAGCTCCAGGCTCGTTAGTACCCAGGAACTTTCTACTCTAAATGACAAAGAGTTTCACTGTCACCAAAGAGAAATTGCTGCTGACCTTAGACCTCTTTTTGGAAAGTAAAATAATGGAGCACAGGAGCAGAGTTTGATATTTGACCGAATTCTACACAATTATCATGCATGTGTATATAATAAAATTAATTCTGTGTCTCTGCATTGTAGCCTCCGGCAAGCAGCGTACAATCAGTTTTGTATGTATAATAGATCACAGAGTTGTTCATGAATAATACAAATGCATTGAGCAGATACTAGTGAGTGAGGATGTTTGTCTTTGCATGGAATCGAAGTGAACATGTAATATTGTGATAATATATATTTGATGAATTCAGGTCTGACTTGCCTTTGCCATAGCCTGCTAATTCCCCGACAAGGGTTGCCACAATAATTGAGTTTCCAATAACATTATGATTATTTCCACATGATAATTTAATTGTAGGTATTTTTTAATATTGTAATAATGTAGATTTGTGATTATTATGCATTTGCATGCAGATTTTCATGGTGTCTTGGAGCACATCCCTACATTTATAACTTAATTTCCTATATTATTGCATATATATTTTGGGATGAACTCATTAATGCAAACAAAAAAAAGCAGGTCTTTTTGGTCATTTTGCCTTTATTATAAATGGCTGAAAGCTTTGCTCATTTTTTTAGACCAGTCTAAACAAGTGAATAAACAAAAGACAACTCTAATTCATGGATGGATTAATTTGAAATAATAATGTAATTACAAATCATGGCAGATTTGTCTGAGGCAATTGGGGTGTAGACTAGTACAAATTTTGCTTTACTGAAAAAAAGCTTGTTTAAATGAATCACCAAGTTTAGTAGAGGCTGTTTTCCATTCTTCCAAATCCCCTATATTAGGTGATGGCAAAGTAACACTGGCTCAAAATTCATGAGTGCCTGTTCAAATAGGTATAACAACATGGAAGCTGGAACATCTGTACCTAGTTAGGTATTATTTTGGCAAACAAAGTAAGAATAGAATTGTGTATACAGTCATGACACTGGTAGGGATTTTAATGAGTTAAATTGTCCACTCTGGAAAGAAGTTGGTTGCTTGCCTGATAACCACCTTCAAACTACATTAGAAAACCTTGCCTGAAATTTGGTGGGACAAAGGGAGGTAGAAATGAACTGTGTTCCCATTAATTGGGGCACACATTCGTATGATCTTGTGAGCATTCTGCTTCAAATCAGAGAGCTCTCTTCCGGGGATGTGGAAAATTCAAAGAGGAGAAAATGTCTTTAGCTAAATACTTCTGTTTTGAAGAGAAAATTTTCAGAGAAAGTGACACGGGCTTTGTGTATTGTTCATTCTTCTGGTACCTGTAGTTGGAGGAATGTTCACCTTTATCTGTAAAATCTCAGCTCTGCAAATTGAACTGGGGTCACAACAGATTTCTTCGTCTATCTGTAGCTGTCAGGTTGGTTTTCCATTGCCTTCATGACAGGAACATGCAACAGGAACTAGGCGAACAGGCCTGGTCCAAATCTTCAGACATGGAAGTTTAAAACCGGGGGCTGGAATATATAACTCTCTGCTATCCTTTCAGATTGCTCTTCAGTGAACATTGGTGCTATTGCTTCCAGAGTAGTTTGGTGCCTGGTTTCTGCTTTCAAACATATTCCTCTAAATTAACAACAGAAAAGACACAGTGAGATTAAGTCCCTTCTCTTTCATCTTTACTTGTTCTGTGGACTGAAGCAGAAAAGTGGAAGCCTGATTTAGGCAGTCAAGAGAGCAGTTATGATTCTGCAGTATAAGATGGTCTCTCTAGGTTTTGAAGCAGAATGACTTCTTGTATAGGTAAATTAGATTCTGTCCTGAAACCCATTTGATCCAAGTCTTTTGTAAACTCCATATCTTACTAAGAAGCACCTTGGCAACTGACTTCACTAGAAGCTGTAAAAGTATCAAAACATGAAGGTGGTCCCACCGGCAGAAGTTCACTAATCTGTACCCGTGCCTTGCTGAGATCAGGTGATAGTTCAACACAGGGGATCTGGAAGGTCAGTCTGTTATTTTTTTTCGTAAGGAGCCACCAGCATAAAATTAAGGATATGTTTTACCCTGTGGAAATAGATCTTAAATGATCTCAGGTGTTATTTGTCACAGGTAAAGTACCATAGACTATAAATGTATCATTCTCTCTGTAAGTCCTCGATGCAATTTATAATCCTTCTTGTCATGGAGAAACTTAAGGTTGTTTCAGATACGAGGTTATTTATACTTGGATGATTGTCTCCATTACTCTATGTTCCTGATGTTACTCATACAGATATGATAGGTGGGTACATAGAATTAGAAACAAGCCCGTTGAAAAGCACTGATTCATGTTATGTTCATAAGTAATTTTCCCTGATGAAATAAATTGAGACTAAAATTTTATAATACAGACAATGTAGCTGTCCTGGCCTCTCAACCATTCCAACATCACAGAGGTTAGGCCTTGGAAGAGCTCAGTTACTTTTCTACCTTTACCTGATGGGTTTTGAACTTGAGTCAGAATTGCTCTAACATTTTAAATTGGGGAAAGTGGTGTGGAGTTCCTCAGACTTTCCTATTAGTGCTGCTTCTCATTATGTAAAAAACCTGAATGATAGATAAGGTCCCTTCCAATCCAAACCGTTCTATGATTCCATGTCTTTTGCTTTTCTCACAATATGTGACAAGAAAATGTTTAATTTCAGGTCACTTGGAAGGAAGGTTTCTTTTGACACAAAATCATTTGTTATTGCTGCTTTGTTCTTCAGCTGAAGGGGAAAAAAACCCCACCTTCAGTTTTCTTGCAATTGTTTTTTTCCATTTGTGCAATTGTTTTTTTCCATTTTCCATCTGTGAAGCAGTGAGACTGTGGAATTTCTGCATGAGGCAGGGGATATGTTCTCTCGTGCACAGACCAACATTTCCCAGCTTATTCTTAAGGAAAGCATTCTTCAAAAATAATTTAAGTAAGGAGGTATTTATGTATTGCCCATCTTCTCTAGTGCTTGAAAAATGCGTGGTTCATGGCCACTAGTGGTTCTTCTCATAGTGGGGAAGGTTTATTGGCCATAATCCTGGAAGTCTGGCAGTCCCCTGTGTGTCAAATGATCACTGATTGTATTGGAAAAGGATGCTTCAGTGACAGCAGGCAGCCCCTGGGCAGAAAGAGGTGTCCCTTGTCCCTGAGCAATAACCTGTATGGATGATTGAGACTTGTTGATAGACCTCCATGGAAGTCTTACCTAGTAGTAAGAGCTTAGCAGTGTCTGACTTAGTGAAGGATCTCTCAGTACAGGATGCTTGAACTTGATTTGTTACTCTCATCAAGAGGGTATAAAGGTAGGCAAAAACTGAACATGCCTTGAGGCCCAGGCAGATGCAGTTTTTCCACAGCCTCTGTCTTATGGGAGGGAAAGAAAGAAAAGGCTGCTAGAATTTACAAAATATAGTTATTGACTAATTTCTTCATCAGCAAGAGCTGTAAGAAATCAGTGAGGTCTCTCCTGAGAGACCAGTGGTGTCACCTCACGTGTCCTCAGGGTGCCAAATGGTATAAAACACTCACTTTGAAAGTACTGCACTGTGATAAGCTTTAACACCCAAGGGATGCATTGTGTGTACATTTTGTTATATGTAATGACACACTGAAAGGGCAGTGAAGCTGTTAAGGGAACACTGCATGTCTAAAAAGAACTTATTTTTCTTTCAACCAATAAAAGAAGGAAAGACTCTTTCAGAAAAGCAGTTAAAATAATATCATTTAAACGTAAGAAGTGATAAAATACCAGAGAGAATTCACCTGTCAGATGAAGAAATTCAAAACATGAAGTCTTCTGTGTAACATACACATTTCAAATTGGACCATTTTCCTGATAAAGCAATAGAACTCTACCAAAAGCTTTTAAAATAGTTGATATATATACAAAATTTTAAGGCTGACACAACCATCAGAACAGCAACAATTATTTAAAACAGATTTGAAGAATAAGGAAAAAGAATGTAATTTCTTGTAGTCATTCTAGACAATGTATAAGAGGCTGTGATATTCAACAAGACCAAAGTTGGATGTGAGATTCTGGGAGTTTTTCAGCAAAGATGATTTTGTGGAAATACAGTTCAGTGCATATAAAAAATACCCCTAGAGGTGACTACAATGCTAACAACAATATTTTGAAACAAAGCTAAAAAAGACTCATATTCCCTTCAATGTAATTCCATGTGGACATATTCAAAAATTCTGTACAACCTCAGTGTGCTGGGGCCCATTTTCCACTAGAAATACTTTTATCTACAAAACTTATGGAAATGTATGTGAATGTTTTCATGTATTTCCAATACAAAAGCCTTCCTTAAACTTGACACAGAATGATATCTGACTATATGAAATCCCAGTCAGCAAGGTGACAAAACAATTGGGCAAATGCATTTCTGATGAACTTTAAATGTGAAATTTAAATTGGACAAATAATACATTTTATATTATTTAGAAATAAACCAAGGCTCATAAAAAATAGAAAAATGAATTGGGTAGGATGGTGCAGTTGCATCTACTCTTACCTCAGTTCCATCAATCACTGTCAGTTAATTATCATTAAGATTGCATAAAAAAAGGCCCCTGTGGGAGTAGGATAGGCTGTGAGTGTCATTCTTTCATTAAAAACAAGATAAACAATATAAGCCTTGTTTTAATTTTTGGTTTTGTTTGTTTTGTTTTTTTCATTTGGGTTTTTTTGTATTCAAAGAAATTATGTGAAAAGATGAATCTTGAATAATTGTGATGAGAGTTACCATATGGATTGCAGAGACAAGGCAATAGAACAAGGGATTCAAAATAAAGTTGGTTCTTGTCAGGAAAATTTTAAAGATTTTAAATTTCTTTCATTTTTTCTTTTTTCTTTCCTTCCAAAATTCAATAGGATTTCCCTTTCTAAGGTGCAAAACTTGCAGGATTTTTAAAAGAAATGCTTGCTTTTTAATGAGCTGTGCTGTTTTTACATCACATGGGTTTATACACGTAGTTTAGAAACCTTCTTTTTCAAAAAAAGTGTCTAAAATTTAAAGTCACATGACTCCAAAAGGTGATTCTTCAACAGAACACGAGCCAGCATGAAACTCACTATGAGTTGAGAATGCAGAAATTTTTGGAGCTTATGAGCTGATCTGTGGGGCTCAGCTCATGAGCACTTAACTAATGACAGAAATAGGAACGCAGTAGTGGGCAGGAGAAGATACTACTATTTCCAGGGTGCATCCCTG